AGATAAAAATCCATGAATTCATCAAAGCTGAAAGCTGCTTTTCAAAGGATCTGTTAAAAAATGTGTCAGAGACACAGGGACCTTTCTGAGCTGATGGAAATATTCTATATTTTGATTGGAGTAGTGGTTATATATACATATAAGTTTGTCAAAAGCCATTGAGCTATATGCTTAAAATGGGTACATTTTTCTTTATGTAAATTATACTGATAAAGTGTATTAAAATATAAAAGCTCAAAAGCAAAACCCCCAAAATCCTGAATAAATGATATTAAGCAGGGGTTGTAGACAATGCAATTACCAATGTAACAGTAGGACAGTGGGAGGGGCTAATTGAGAGATGATGTAGAATAAGATCCTTGGAAGAGAGGAAGCAAAGAATCTGAGCTATCAAGGTGTTGGGTCACCTTTATAGGTATTAAAATCATCAAGAATTAGGATGACTAGTACTGGAAAGATTGACAATGATCCTCAATAAATAAGAGAGAATGACTTGGGGTTTGGAAGACTACAACAATAAGGAGAGGTAATGGGTGACTCAGCTTAGCTATTTGTCTTGACAAGGGAGGTAGACTAGTTCTGGAAACATCAATGGGGAGTGAGAATAGCTAGTGGACACCTACCCCAACTCCAGGCTCAACAGTAAGAGGGGTGGAGAAGAAAAGTCAGCCATTTGTTGAGAGGGATATAGCTGAAGTAGTGTCCTCATGCGAGACCTAAGTTTTTAGGATTAAGTTTCAATTAATTTCAAACTAAATTTCAGTCCATTTTCTTTACTTTATATACAAACTTACTCTTTCTTTAGGGCCCCTAAGTTTGTGAATTTGCTATGGACTGAATTGTGTCCCCTCCCCAGATCCATATGTTGAAGCCTTACCCTCAGTGTGATGGTATTTGGAGATGGGGTGTTAAATGGAGTCCTAAGGGTGGGGACCTTGTGATTGGATTAGTGACCTTATGAGAAGAGATGTCAGAGAGCTTGTTCTCTTTCTCTATCATGTTAAGACACACAGAGAAGGTGGAGGTCTACAAGTCAGGAAGAGAGAACCCTCAACAGAATACAACCATACTGGCAGCCTGATCTTGGACTTCTGGCCTCTAGAACTGTAAGAAATAAATTTTTGTTGTTACAGTCACCCATTCTGTGCCATTTTGTTATGGCACTCTGAGCTACTACCTACTAAATTGCCCAAGATAGACAATTGGGAAGCATCCTTCTAATTTACCACCCAAATTGAATCCAACACTAACTTCTGTCAATTTTACCTACTAGGTATCTTCCAAATAAGTTTAGTTCTTTCCTTTGCCATGGTCATTCATTCATTCATTCAATGTTTATTTGATGCTTGGTGTCTGTGAGGCACTGTTAGGTGTTAACTACCCAAGTCTGAGCTATTAGCATCTCTCATCTCTTAGACCCAATTTTTTCTGTTTTGGCTCAGTCACTTAGCCACTAGTATGTAGTGGCTCTATGTATGTAGACTCTAGAAGGAAACAAATGGTGCTTCATTTTAAAGACGTTTTCATCTGTTATTTGTAACAATATTAAGGTCCCAGAAGCCCTGGACATAACTTTTGTGCATAATTTTCTGGAAAATTTTCCTTTCCTTGGCAATGAGTATGACTGAGGAAATATTTATTGTTGCTGTTTCCTGATGTCAGGGAATGAATAGGTATGGGAAGAGGCTACCAACCTTGGCAGCTGCATTTCCTTTGTAACAGAAGTCAGACTAAGCATTTAATCAGAACTGGGTTTAGTGAGGAAAACATGATTAAGGGTGGGGACCAGGAAGAAGAATGAAGTTGATAATAGATGTGGCAGGAAGGGTGGATCACCTTTGGCAAAGGGAGAGTCAAAATGCTGATGTGTGGGGGAGATGGAGTAAAGTTTCACAGGAAAATTCAAGTTTTTCTATTTATTTTATGGTTATTTAAAGTAGCATCACGTAAATTTTTAGGATATAAATCCCCTAGTTTAATTGACAAATTACTTACCTCAAGTATCATTAGCTGACAAAGACAAGGTGTGGTCATTTGCAAAAACATTTTTTCTCCTTATGTCTGTGATCTAAGTTTATAAACTTGAAAAAATATATTAGCAACAATAAGCAACATTTACTGAGTGCTTACTATGTTACCAACTACTGTTATTTCCGTACTTGTTTCATTTAACTCTCACCATGGGGTAACCCTTTGAGGTGGGCTAAATGAGGAGAATATATGTGTACACTCAGCTAGTCAAGAGCTAGTAACACATAGATTCTCCTCATTTAGCAAATTCAGGACTATCTCCTCCAAAATCCACACTCTTAAATACTTCTTTCTTCTATCTAACAGTTCCCTTGGATTTTAAAATTAATCAGTCTTTATGATAGTCTTTAAAAAGCTTGAAAATGGTCTGAACATTCAGAGTAAAGTATAACCTCTTCCTCCTTTCTTACAGTTATTATAAAAGATTTTGACACAATAATTACATTTAGAATTTGGGCTCAAATATTTGACTCCATAATTGTATGTATAAATCTATCAAAACTTAATTTTATAGTGATTAATAGAGAATGCAAACATTCAATTTAACAATGAATATCAAACAAATAAGATGAGCCCAACATTTAGATAAAATAAAATGTACATTATAAACTCCTTTGTTCTTAATTCTTGGATATAAATCTTGTCAAATCATTCAGAGTTAAAAGGCAATGTGTTCACTGACTACAATGGTGTGATATAGAATAGATCTGTACTTGTGACAGGAAAGTAGGAATCCAATCAGTGGTATAGGGAAGTAATGTTAGAGTTTTTAAACAATAGCAAGAGCTAGGGTGGAAATCATAGATTGATTTAATCTTTACCATTGGTAAAGAACAATGCTTTTGAAACTTACCCATTAGCATTTTTTTTACTGTTATCCACTCTTATATCCCCTCCCAGTATTTTCCATGAAATTTCTAGAGATCTGTGGAACATACCATAAAGCAAAGCAAAACAAAACAACTGGGCCAGATGTTACTCATAGCTCTTTCAGAAAATCTGTAATTTGTTTTAATGTTATTAAATAATTAAATAAGTTTACACCTAAATCATCCTATCTGATGAAATTCTGGAAAGTTTTACTAAATCTTGCCCAATTGAAAACAGTTGAAAGAAATCAGATGTAGCTATTTTAAAGGATTGAAATTCTAACTCTTTCATTCACTAGTTATATGATGTTGGGCAAAGTTGCTTAGCTTCTCTTTTCTTTAAATTCTGTATCCATAAAATGGGGTTAGTAATAAACTACTTACTATATTGCCTGCCCTGTAATAAACACTCAATAAATGATAGAGTAGTTTAAACTGAACATTATTTTTTAAATCAACATTTGCTCATTCAAAGTGTAATTTGATAATCCCTCTCATCCATATTACTTTCCAAATATAGGAAATCTAGGAAGATAAACACACATATCAATATCACCAACAACTGACTTGAGAATTAATTGAGTGAACAAAATTTAGACAAAAGGAATTGGGTACCCTACCTTTTGGAAACACTATCTCTTGTTTGAAACTGGTAAATGTAAAAGTTTAGTTAGAAAATTAAGGCTAATTTTTATACTGTCTGAGCAGTCACATGTTTTACTATAACCCAGAGATAGAGGAAGGAGTTCTTACATCCCATAGCCCAGCAAACACTTATTTGGATTACTTAGTTATGGAGGAATTCAAGGTTCTCTGTTATAATTTTAAAAAGACAGGTTGATGATGTCCTTGGTGTTGCCATGTGACCAACTGTTAAATAATCTAAAATGGCTGTAACACTATTACTTTAGCCGATAGACATTTAACTTAACATTTGATAATCTTAATATATTTTATGTCTTTGAAAAGCCATTAGGAGGCTATAAGGTTTTAGGAAAAAATTGCCTAAACTTTATTGTCTTACTATATTTATCTAGAAGTGATGAGGACAATATTATAATATTGTAATAATTTAAAATTTGTGTGTAGTAGTAACTGTTACCATCACTACTACTGATGATGATACTAGTATGACTATAATTCATAGTAGCGTATCTCCTAAGTTGATGTGAGGCCAAATGAAGTAACACAAGTAAAATTATTTAGAAGTGTTTAGAAATGGACCAGGTACAATATAAGAATTTCTTTTTACTATTATTGTTATACTATCTTGAATATTTTTAATGGTCCAGAAAAAAACATGGAGAAACTAAACAGTGTAAGAAAGGATTTAGGAAATTATTTTTCACTTGGAGTAACCTACACAAAATTTTTTCTTGATGAGTTAATTTGGAAACATGTTTCTTTTTCCTGCTTTAGGGGTTTTCCGAAGTACTTTTCTGAAAAGTTAAGACATATTAGAAAAAAACAAACCTTCAGAATGTACCAAAAAGAGGAAGCACAGCATTCTAAAATGCCTCTTCCTTGCATAACTGCACACAAACTCCTGCTCCTTTCTTCCACAATATACATGTGACTCCTTTGCAATGTTTGTTCTTTGTGGGAGAATTTTAGAAATTTCTGCCTGGACTGTGAGGGAATAAAGTTCTCAAGCCATTGTTTACCATCTCCTCCACCCATTTAGGTCTTCCAAAATCTATCTCATACAGATTGTGATATCTGGAAAGCCCTTTTAGGATGATTTTGTCAGGCTCCTTCATCGTATAGCTGGAGAAACAATGCTCTGGAGGGAGGAAGGTAGGTGATTTTTCCAAGTTTTCATAGGAAGCCACTGAAAATAAAATTTAGTCGTTGTGACTGTCAACCAGTCTAGTGCTATTTCCCCTATATCATTTTGCCTTTTTTCATATGAGATCTGTTTTCCCATAGTTATCTGGGAGTAGTCAAACACCCAGGCATTCTTCTAAGACTCAGACTAAGAAAATAATTATAGAATTCTTTCTTATCTGTAGCCCAAACATTGAGGATTTTTTAGAAGCTGAAGTACAGTGTAAAGAAGTAATATATTCTGTAGGCTGTTATTAGAGCTAGAAAACTTACCTTCACAAAAAGCTCAATTTCAGGGTCTGCTTGAGTGCTGGGGCTCGCCATCTTTTTGTTTTTACTGCCGGTTTTCAGACCCCTGCCTCCTGCAGAGGCTGAAATACCATGGACTCTTCTTCCAGTTGTATCCAAAGGTTCAAGGAATGTTGGTGCTTTAAGAGAACAGTTTAGCTTGTAGTGGACTGAGTCAGATCTGGGCCCAGTCTCTCGTGATGAGAGGTAGGACACAGAAATTCTAGACGCTTAAGAGCAGCTCTTGAATTTGTTTTCTTTCTTCCTCTTGACCTAACATTTGAATCAAGGAGGAGCCCAAGGGGTGTGTGTGTGAACTGGCTGGTTAGAAGGGTGGGGGTGTTTCCAGAGTGGCTTCAATGCCATGAGTCAGCAGAGTAGACACACACACACACACACACGCAGTGCTGGCATCTATGTATCAATATGACCAGATGATCTCTAGAACCTCCCTTTGAGTCCTGGGCTCCATGCCCAGAAAAGGGACTCTTATTACTGTTCCTGTAACATAGCAGCTTTTCGAGGAAAAGACAGAAATGATTTGAATAATTATTATTATTATTATTGTACTGGGGATCGAACTTGGGAACTTGTCCTTGCGAGGCAGGCAGTGGAACCACTGAGCTAAATCCCCGGCCCTGAATTTTTATTGAAAATGATGTTTATCTAATGATACAGTCCAAAAAGGGTTAAAAAAATTATACTGCATCAAATAACTCCACCCCTAACATTACTGCTCACACAGTCAGATTTCTGTTCTGCATTGCAAATTTCACTTCTCTAGTATAACTTGGGATTGTTCACTTCAGTGGTAGAGTCTGGGGGCTTCTTTAGTGTACTCCTCCTAGTTTTTTATTTCTTGGAAGTGTGGGCTGGGTCATATTATTTCCTTGTTTTGCTCCCTGTATCAGGAACCACAAGTAGTTTGTTATCTCTACTTGTCAATGCAGAGAACTGAAGTGAAATATCCAAACTGATCACTGAATGTCTAAGACATTCCTGGCAGCTGTGTATTCTGCCTGCCAGACATGAGGTGGGGTGGGGGCAGGACTAATAAACCTCTTTGGTGGCAAGAGTCTGTTCCTGCCTGGAGCCAAACTGAACATAGATCCATCAGTTGGGCAACGTCATCGTCCTCTTTCTATAACACCAAATATCCCCCGTGCTCATATGGGCTTACGTGAACCTACCTTTGTCCTGTGTAGATTTTCAGTATAAGAGACTTGGTAAAACCCACCCTGGGCCACACCTGCAAGTTCTAGGCAAGGAGTTCCTGATATATACATGGGTGTTCTTCTGGGTGAGGGAAGGGCCTGATGATTTCTCAAGTAGTCCGAGGGAAATCGTGCTGGACATCTGTTGAACAGACATCAGGGTGAGTTTAGGACTGGCTGTTTGGCAAGACCTGGTGGCTGCTTTGTTTGGCCATGTTTTACAACCTATCCATCTATCTCTGTTCTGTTCCTCATACTTTGTTTATTCACTCCAAAGATGATCAATGAATGCCTAGTCTGTGGCAGGATGCTGATCCTCTCATTGCAATCGAAAGCACCGCGGAACACAATACATTTAGGAATTCAACCCTAAGCATGCTCAGTAGGAGGCATCGTCACTCTCCTCCACTGTCTGTATCTAATTAGTATAAAATCCTGTCACTTCCACATCCCGAGTATTTTAGAATATCATCCAGTTCTAACCTCCACTACTCCAAATTTCAAGCCAGCAATATTTTTTCATTTTTACTTTAAACTGCCAAATAATTGCCTGACCCTCAGCCCTCGTCACTGCCACTGCCATAACATCAGACAACAGACTAATGAGCTCTGTGTGACCTGTAAAAATTATCAAGGGGATGAACTTTTTTCTCTCTTTGGTTGTTTTGGAAATTTTTTAATGAGATAGCATTTACACAGCATAAAACTGGCCTGTTTTAGGTGTGCACCACAGGGATTTTTAGTAAATTTATTAAGTGGTGCAGCCATTACTACCATCCCTATTTAGGCATTTCCATCATCTCAGTGCAATCTCTCTTGCCTGTTTGCTGTCCATTCTCATTAACACACCTGGAAGAAGGCAACCCCTAGTCTATTTTCTGTCTCTGTGGATTCTCATTCTAGACATTTCATAGCAATAGAATCATATAATATGTGGCCTTTTCTGTCCAGGTTCTTAGGTCCATATTATAGCTGGAATCAGTACTTAATTCATTGTCGTAGATGACTAACATTCAAGTGTATGGATAGACATTTTGTTGCATATTAGTAAAATAGAAGAGTGCGATTGGTTTTGGTTTATTCATATGTACATATAATATATTTGGATTATTTTCATCCTCATTACTCTTCTTTTCCTTTCCTCCCTTTTCACCTAGTCCCCTTTATAATCTGTAAACATCTGCCTTCAGCAGCCTCTCATCTCCTTTATTTTTAGTTTTTTAGATTATTCCTACAAAACAAAACATGTGATATTTAACTTTCTGAATCTGCTTATTTCACTTAACAAGATGGACTCCAGTTCCATCCATTTTCCAGAAAATTATATGATTTTGTTCTTCTTTATGACTGAATAATATTTACACCGTGCATATATACCATATTTTCTTTAGTCATTTGTTGATAAGCATCTATGCTGTTTCAGCAACATATTATTCATCTTTCTCATTTTTGGGAGAAAATACCAGACTTATAACTTAATGGAGGAAGGTCTTATTTTTGCTCATGGTTTTAGAGAATTCAGTCCCTGGTTGGCTGCCTCCATGGCAGAAACACCGTGGAAGGGCATGGTGGAGCAAAGCTGCTTAGCACACAGTGGCCAGGAAGAAGAACAGAGAATAGTGCCAGATAGGAATGGGTGAGGGACCAAATATGGACTCCAAGATCATGCTTCCATGACCCACCAGACACACCCAGAAGTGTGCTTTACTAATCCCAGAGGTGGCTCACAAGCCAATCAAGTTGACAATCCACCTTAATATTACATACCACCCCTTGTCAACTTGACACCCAAGCACTTCTCCTTAAATACAAGATCATAAATTCCACCTAACATTATACAACTGCCCCACTGTATTAGTTTTCCTATCACTGGGTCACAATACTCTGCATCCACAACTTAAAGGAGGAGAAGCTTAAGTTTGCCAATCTTTCCAGGGTGTTCAGTCCATGGTAATTTGGCTCCAAGGCAGAAATATCATGATGGAAGGTCATGGTGGAGCACAGGAACTTAGTTCATGGCAGACAGGAAGCAGATCAGGGGAATACCACCAGAGAGAATGAGACCAGTGATCACATATAATATACAAAGTCATGCCTCCATGACCCACCCAGACATACCCACAAGTGTGCTTTACTAATCCTGCAGGCATCTCTTAATCCAATCAAGTTGATGTGTCATGATTAATAGTCACCTCTGCATACAACTGGAACACAATAATCTCTTCCCCAGAGTCTCAACAGTCCCAGCATTACTAAAACCTCCACATTCAAAGTTTCCCCTAAGACTCAAGGCAAAGTGTTAGCTGTGAACCCATATAAGAATAAAAAACAAGTTGCGTATTCCTAAAGCAGAATGAAACAGGGTAAATAATCTCATACTGAAAGGGAGAAATGGGATAGAAAAGAATCAGACCAAAGCAAGACTGAAACCCATCCAGACAAACATCTATACTGTAGTTCCATATCTGGAATCCTGAAAATCTGGTGGTAAGATATGAGTTCCAAAGAGCTTGAGCAGCCCTATCCCTATGTCCTTGCTGGAGAGCACACATGGCCTCTGTCTTGGTGTGGCTTCAATCAGGTCCAGCAGCTTTTCTCAGCCAACCTTCAACATTTCTGTCGTCATTGACTTCCTGGCATCTCCACTACACCTTTGGCTTTGTTGTCACAGCTTTATGCCCTGTCCTCTTAGGGGCTTTTTGCTTGGCCTGCAAGGCCTTCCTATGAAATCTGGCTGGAAGCCTCCCTCCATGATTCCATAACTCTCACACTCTTCATGCCAGTAAAACCAGCATCAGCAAAGTCAGATGCCAGTGTGGGCAGTAGTTAGGGTACCATGGGCCATTTCTGCAAAGACTTCTCAGTTCCTGTGTGGCTGAGCACAGTAAAATGAATCCTGGGGATCCAATTCCTTAAGTGATCTTTCCTGAGCAGGGACATAGGTGCTGTCTTCTCAAATTAAAAGTTCATAGCTTTGCACTCTTGAACCTGCAATTGGTGGGGTCTTGCCAATTCCAAATAACCTTCAAAGCATTCATGTCACTGTACAAAGTGCTTTGTTTCTTTTTAATGGAGCTAATTTCTTTAATAGTTACACTTCTGATGGCTCCAACTTTACAGATAGTTCTTTTTGGTCCAATATTTAAGTTTTTCTGCTCTGCTTTTTGCCCTTTATTCTTATTATAAGTCTGGCTAAAAGCATCCAGCAACACCCATGCCACAGATGGAATCTTTGGCTTCCTTGAAATTTCCTCTGCAAGATCAATTAGTCCATAGCCTTTAATCTCAGTCTCCTGCAATGTCTCAGGACATGGACTAAATATAGATAATATTTTTGTGGGAGTGTTACAAATATGGCCTCTAATCAATGTCAATGAAGTCCTTATTCCCAAGTGAAACCTCCTAAGCCTGGCCTTTATTGTCTGCATTCATATTAGCATTCTGGTACTCTGAGCTCTGACTAATATCACCCATCAGGTTCTTCTTATTCTAGGGCCTCTCTAGCCCACATTTCTAAACTTGTCCAAAATTGCCCTGCAAAACAATTCCAAAGGCTTCTAAACTATATAGTCAGGTATACTCAGCACAACAACTCCACTTCCAGCACCAATTGTTCTACATTAGTCAGATTTCCCATTACCTGATACCCACAACTTAAAGAAGGAGATGTTTTACTGGGTTCACAGTTTCAGAAGATTTTCTCCATGGTTGGCTGGTTCCAAGGAAGAAACGTTGTGGTGGAAGGACTTTATGGAGCAAAGCTGCTTAATTCACAGCAGCTGGGAAGCCAAGCATAGAAATAGAGAAGAAAGAGGAGGGACTAAATATAGACTTTAGGTCATGTCTCTAGGACCCATCTAGACACATCCAGAAGTATGATGTTTTTAATCTTCTAGGTGGCTCCCAAACCAATAAAGTTAGCAGTCTGCCTCTACCATCACACAAAGTTTAGGTATTTTCAGTTCTGCTGGAATAAACATGAGTGTACATGTAGCAGTACAGTTTGATGATTTAATTCTTTTGGGAATATAATAAGAAGGATATACATGGGTCAAATGGTATTTTATTTTTATTTTAGGAGGACCTTCATACTGATTCTCATAGTGGCTGTACTAACTTATGTTCCAATAACCAGTGTAAAAAAGTTTCTTTACCCCTGTATCTTGGCCAGTAGGCATTGTTTTTGAAACCCCCTACCCCCCCACCCCCATACCAGGGATCAAACTCAGGACTTTGTGCTTGCCAGGCAGGCAGGGTACCACTGAGCTACATCCCTGGCCCTCTTTCACATTCTTGGTGATAGCCATTTTGACTGGGGTTAAATATAATCTTACACAGTTTTGATTTTTATTTTCCTAGTGGTTAAAATATTGAACATTTTTTCCATGTACTTGTTGGCCATATACTTCTTGAGAAATGTCTACTCAATTGATTTGCCCATTTTTTGGAATCATTTTTCCATTCTTTATTTATTCTAGATATTTGTTCTCTATCAGAAGAGCAGCAAGCAAAAAAAGTTTCCCATTGTGTATGTTGTCTTTTCACTATGTTGATTGTTTTCTTTGCTGTGCAGATATTTTCTAGTTTTATGTAGTCCCATTTGTTGATTCATGCTATTTTATTTCCTGTGCTGTTGGGATCCTATTCAGGAAGTCTTTGCCTGTGCCCATGGCTTTAAGTGTTTCCCCTATGTTATCTTCTAGAAATTTCAAAGTTTCTGGTCTTATACCTATGTCTTTGATTCATTTCAATTTTATTTTAGTACACAGTGAGAGATATGGATCTAGTTTCAATCTTCTGCAAGATTTTCTAGCACATTTATTAAAGAGGATGTCTTTTTTGCAATGTATGTTTTTGGCCACTTTGTACAAAATCAGATGGTTGTAGGCATTTGGATTTTTGTCTCTGCTGTTCCATTCCACTGATCTACGTATCTGTTGTTGTGCCAATACTGTGTTGTTTTTGTTACTTGGCTTTATGGTATAACTTGAAATTAGGTAATGTGATGCCTCCAACTTTGCTCCTTTTTGGTCCACACTGCTTGGCTATTCTGAGTCTTTTGTATTTCCATATCAATTTTAGGATTATTTTTTCTAGTATCTTGAAAACGTTCTTCGTAATGTAATAAGTATCATGAAAAAC